TATCATAGCACATCTAATTGTTACTAAATAGGAAAATATATTGTGGAAGTATAAACAAATTCAAGATCAAATGACGGTAGAAATATCTACATTTTAAGAATTGACATGTCAATTGCTGACTCTTGACTTCCATTTATCATAAAAGATGGTTTTCTATTTTATGGTCTTCTTCCACAGCCATTAGCAAAATTCATAATTGGAGCTTGCTTAGTGTTGGGCTATACTTGCTGAGACTTGTTTTTATATATGGTCAACTATATTGCTATATCTCGAGTGCAAGGTAGGCAAGGGTTGAAAATGTAATTAATTATTTATATAGATTATAAAGCCACAAATGTTACTTCTAATGTAGTACAAGGTTCTCATAAAAAAAATGTAACGCAAAGAGATTTTTAATAAATTTAACTGATGTTTGGCAGCCATCTATCCCATGAGATGCCATACTCTATTTTGATTTTTTTTTTTTGTCTATCTTTCTCTTTTTAGTATAAGAATTTGTTGGATTCATATTATCTCTGTGTTTAAAATTTATCTATTATGTCATCACCATAGATTTCTCTTCATTATGGGTTATTACGTATATTTTTTTGATCATGGAGTCATTTTTTTATTTTTTTTATTCATATGACAATTAATATATATTGATTGTCTGTTTATCTAAAACTTACAAAAAATTGCAAAAATTGCACGGGTAATAAACTAGTTTTTTATGAAAATAAAAGAGTCTTAAAATACAATTCTATGTAATTTCTTACCTCTGTACAAAGAATCCAATTCAATTTTTTTCTTTCTTTGTTTGTTTTGGAATTCAGATTAATATGTACCCAACATCACTTTTTTAGTTTTTTTTTATGATTCCAACACTAATTTCTTTTCCATGTTTGAGATTTTACAATACCAAACTTGGCTTAAGATGTCAAGAAATATCTTTAAAAAAAATATGAAATGGGAATTTGGATTCGCTGACAATAAGTACTAAGTGTCTGTACTATCTGAATTATTAAAATTTATATTAATGGTTTAGATAAACTCATTCATTTATTAACCTCAAATGGAATATGAATTTAAAATTATTAATCTAAATTTTAATAATTTAAATGATGCAGGCATTTAGTGTCTGTACAGTCACTAAATCTAAGTTCGGGGAATGGACAGCAAATAAAAATGGTTTCGTGGATTTGGGAGTGAAGGGGCAGTATCAGAAACAATGATCAGGCTTGTAGATTCTTTTTTATAGTCCTGAAAAAATTGGAGTGACACAGAAAAATTGCATGGCCCTAAGGATGACAAACATAAATTGAGCTTTTTTATATACTTAAATGATTAACTCTGTTGTGCCAAGAAACATTATTAACTTTGCTATTATCGATTCAATGATCTCTCATTTTACTATTTTATTCTCATTTTATTATTATTTTTGTTTACAAAGTTTACACGTTAAATAATTTAAGAACACGTTTTGGATATTGGTTTCTAATATTTAATTATTTACAAGGGTCATTAATCTTTGAGGACAAGATTCTCTTCTCTTCTCATTCTCTTTCTTTATTTGCCTAAGATTTCGACAGTTTGGATTTCATTTTTTAATAAATTATTATTCAAATATTAAATTATAAAAATTAAGTAATCATATTCAAAACATTTGAATTGTTATAACTACAATGAAATTACTATTTTTGGAAGCAAATCTTTCATTGTTTCACAATCAATCAATATAAAATAATATATATATATATATATATATATAAATTGAAATTTCATAAAAAACTTGTTATCCATAAAAAGTAATAGTAATGGCGAACAAGGTGCTCTGTTTCGACCCAAACTAAGATCACTGTGTTTCTTTCTCAAAATAACCAGTGAATTACTCCCTTTTTTTCAGAATAGTTAATATATAATTTGAAATTTCAACTATAAATTTAAGGATGATTTGAATCCTAAACTTTTATTTAATATATTCTAACTCTAAACAATTAAAGTTGGTATAATTTTGCCCCATTATCAAATTCAAGTAGACATTCGTTATTTTTTTAAAAAAAATGAGGCTTAATATACAATTTTTCTCAAAGGAGGTAGAAGAAAGGGAGGGTGAAATTTGATGAAAATCACACATTAAACTCTATTTTTTTAAAAAATAATGAACATTTACTTTAATTTAATAGTAGGGTGAAATTGCACAAATTTTAATTATTTAGAATTTAAAATGTGTCAAATAAAAGTTTAGAATTCAAATTATTTCTGAATCTATGATTTAGGATTCAAATTCTATGTTAACTTCTTTTGAGAATTAATCTGAGAACAAAGAAGACTTGATATAATAACAATATCACTACAGTGTCATCCAAAAAGTTTTAAAAAATAACAGTGACAAGAAGTTAACGTCGGAGCAAACATCATTCCTCCATTAGTTGTTGTTCTAACTTCTGAAGGGAGCTCACATATTCAGGGCTTGTTTGTTTTTTATTTTTAAAATAAAAATTAAAAAATTATTTAGATAAATGTTTTTCATTTAATTCTTTCCAAAGCTGTTTTCATTTTTTATTTACTTTATTTTTTTTATTCTTTAAATACATTATATTTAATTATTGAAAATTATAATTACTTTGATGAATTTTTATTATTAATTACCACAATTAATTACTTATAATCATTACTATCTGTGTATTTTTTTCAATTCTAAAACTATTTTTTAATTGATGTAATCAAACGAATTTTTTTATTTTATTTTAAAAATAATTTTAAAAATTGTATTATAAAATAGTTTTTTTAAAAAAATATGAAAATAGAAAATAAACAGGCCCTAGATTTTTTTTTGTTTTTGTTTTTAGGATGTTTTGATTTTCAATAATGTCTAATATATTTACAAGGGTTTCTAGAAGTTTGTGATTTTAGACTTTGGCAGAAAATATAATTGTTGATCCCTACTTTTAGCATCTTTTAATTTCAAATTAATATACAATTTGAACTCTAAATTATAGGTTTAGGGATAATTTAAATCATAAAATTTTAAAATATACCTTCTAAATCCTAAATATTAAAGTTAAAACAATTTTGCCTTATTGTTAAATTTTAATAAACGTTCGTTAATTTTTTAAAAAACTAAGGTCTAATTTATAATTTTTACCAAATTTCACTCTCTCTTTCTCTCCTACTCTCATTTGGTGGCAATTGCACATAATACCCTATTTTGACAGACATTTGTTTAAATTTAATAGTATGGATGAAATTAACTCAACTTTAATTGTTTAAGGTTTTAAAATATATCTTTCAAAAGTTCAGGGTTTAAATTACTTATGAACCTATAATTTAAGATTTAAATTACATATTAACCCTTTAATATTTGTTTAATATTTTTATTATTCTAAATCTCTGGAGTTTTATATGTTTAAAACATTAGTTCTTTTTGTTATTTTATGTTTATATAACTCTATTTAATTTTGTTACTATTTGATAAAATTATGATGAATTGGACATTGTATAAATGAAATGGTTATTAATTTTTTTGTCTATCTACTCTAGCTATGCGTTTTCTTTCTTCTAAAACTTTATCCAATGCACTACTTGTTTTAGATCCTCTTAACTCATTTTTTTTTTACAATTGATCATAATTTTAAATATTTATATACATGTTAGCCTGTTAAATCTTTATGACTACGTTTGAAATATGGAGATTAACACTACAAATAGATGAAATTTTAAGACTTGAACTAACAAAAAATAATATAAGAACTAATATCAAAACAAGTTAAAAATATAAGGACTTACAATTAAGTTTTCCCTTTTAATAATTACTCCTTTGGTAAGAGAGAGAAAAAAAATTTGTCCTTTTTATATATCACTTTATTAAATTTTTTTACAAATTTTTTCATTTACCCTCCATTAAATGTTAGAAAAAAATATGTTGTTAAAATATGCATGTTTATTAGAGATAAAGCTAAAAAATTATAAAATTTTTAGAGAAAGGTAATAAGTTTTAAAATTTTTTAATTCTAATAAAATATATTAAGAGTGTTATGAATATCACAAGGATAGTGGATGTCCATCTTCATCACCTCTTCATCTTCATCTTTTCCCATGAAACTCCCATTATTATGAGAGTTGATTGTCCTCCCATGAAACTCCTACCATCATGAGAGTTGATTACCCTTTATTTACTTTTATCATTTGTATAACCTTTAATGTGTAAGACCATGCTTATAAATAGGACATGTAATTTGTATTGAAGGATATAATAATTCATAAGAAATTCTCTCATTCTCTTATCTCTATTTCTTCTCTCAATATCTTTATTTTCTAGTTGTTAATTTCATAACACGTTATCAGCATGAGAGCTTTGGTAATCTATAAGTTTTGTAGCAAAGTTTCTCATTACAAGGTAATTTTTATGTTCATATATGATTTGATCTATTTTCTAAACATTTGATCCTTTTAATCTTGTTTAATCTTGAATATCATCTAATTCTTATCATATTTTTATTATAGTATCTATATGTCGAATCTTTGGAAACTTGAGTTTGTAGCTCTTGACATTACTAAAAAAATTATCTATCTTGGATACTAGATGTGAAAATCCATCTAGATGCCAATGGCCTTGGAGACACAATCAAGGATGGTAATTAAGCATCCAATCAAAATAAGGCCATGATCTTTCTTTGTTACCATTTATATGAAGGGTCGAAAATTGAGTATTTAACTATAAAAGACCCTCTTGTTCTTTGGAACAATTTTAAAGAAAGGTATGACCATAAAAAAATTGTAATTCTTTCAAAAGCTCGTTATGATTAGATGCATTTACGTTTGCAAGATTTTAAATTTGTGAGTGAATATAACTCTGCAATTTTTAGAATCAGTTCTCAACTAAAATTATGTGGAAAAAAAGTCATTGATGATGATATATTAGAAAAAACATTCTCCATATTTCATGAATCCAACGTGCTCCTGCAATAGCAATATCATGAAAAAGGTTTTAAAAAATATTTGAATTGATTTCTTGTCTTCTTATGGCTGAACAAAATAATGAGCTTTTGATGAAAAATCATGAATCTCGTCTAACTGGTTCTACCCCATTCCTTGAAGTGAATGCAGTGACAAATGAATCAGCTTGGGGTTATGGCCGTGGTCGTGGCCATAGCCATGGACGAGGTCGTGGTCGTGGTCATGGTAGTACATCTTTCGACAAGAAGTGGACAAACAATGAAGAGAAACACAAGAAAGGAATAAGTAGGGATAATAATAATAATACTAAAAATTTATGCTACCGTTGTGGTGGTAAAGGTCACTGGCCACGTACCTGTCGTACTCCAAAACATTTGATTGATCTTTACCAAGAATCACTTGAAAGTAAAAGTAAAAACAAAGAGGCAAAGATAGAAACACATTTTGCCTCTGAAGAAGGTGATTCTGATTATGGTGACATGGATGTTACTCATTTGGATGTTGCTGATTTCTTTGCCGATCTTAATGGAAGAATTGATCACCTAATTGGGGATGGAAATGTTCAGAAATAAATTTCTTAAATATTGATGTTGTTAAATTTTATAGTTAAGTGTCATTTTAATTTTCTTGCGTTGGAATAAAGAATTTACTTATAATATTGTTTTTTCAATGAATAAAGTTTTTGTACTCCATATTTTAATTATATATTTTTATGTTTTTTAATGAAGAATGAGTATTCATCTGATTGGTACAACGACAATAATGGAGATATGTGTCTCATTGATAGTACAACAACTCATACAATACTCAAAAATAAAAAATATTTTTCTTCTTTGGTAATGCAAGAAGCCAATGTTTAAACTATATCTGGAAGTATAAAGATGATTGATGGCTCTAGAAGAGCTAATATATTATTGCTTAGAGGAACTAAATTACACATTGATAGTGCATTTTATTCTACTAAGTCTAGTAGAAATTTATTGAGTTTTAAGGATATCCCCAGAAATGGATACCATATTGAGACAGCAAATGAAGAAAATAAAGAATATCTTATTATTATGAATTTAATTTTTGGTAAAAAGTGCACTCTAGAAAAATTACCTACATTTTCCTCTGGCTTGTATTATATATTTATTAATACAATTGAAATATATGCTATTGTAAATCAAAGTTTACAAATGGTGATAAATTCAATGTTTGGCATGATTGGTTAGGCCATCCCGAGTTAATTATGATGTGAAAAATAATCGAAAAATCATGTGGACATTCATTAAAAGGTCAACAAATTCCACAATCCCATGATTTTTCATGTTCTGCATGTTCTAAAGGAAAGTTAATTATTCGACCATCAATAAAAAAAATAGAAAGTGAGTCTCTCACATTTCTAGAACACATACAAGGTGATATTTGTGAGCCTATACACCTATCATGCAGACTATTCAAGTACTTTATGGTTTTAATTGATGCATCAACAAAATGGTTGCATGTTTGCTTGTTATCTTCTCATAACTTGGCATTTGCGAGATTGCTTGCTCAACTTATTAGATTAAGAGCACACTTTCTTGATTATCCTATTAAGAAAATACATTTAAATAATGCCGATGAATTTACTTCACAAGCCTTTAATGAATATTGCATGTCTCTTAGAATTGATGTTGAACATCATGTAGCACATGTTCATACACAAAATGGACTTGCAAAATTACTAATTAAATGCTTACAATTGATTGCATGACCATTACTTATGTGATTGAATCTCCCAATTTCTACTTGTGGGCATGCAATTTTACATGCAATATCATTAATTCATATCAGGCCAACAAGTTATCTTAGAGCTCCCCTTTAGAATTGGTTTTTAGTTAGGAACATAATATTTCCCATCTAAGAATTTTTGGATGTGCATTATATGTTCTAATTGCTCTACCACAACGTACTAAGATGGGTCCTCAAAGAAGGATGGGAATATATGTTGGATATGAATCTCTATTGATAATTAAATATTTAGAACCATCAACAGGAGATTTATTTACTGCTTGATTTGCTGATTGTCATTTTGATAAATTAGTTTTCCTAACATTAGAGGGAGAAAATAAACAGTTGGAAAAGGAAGTTAATTAAAATGAATTATCATTATCTCATCTTTGTAATGATTCAGGAAAATAATGTAAATAAAAAAATCTAAAATTAGATAAGTTAAAGTATTTGCATTATTTTTGGTATAAATTTATCAAAATATTCTAATAGTTCAGTGATAACTACTATTTATGTTTATTTTTAGGTCCCATGTTCGAATCCTTATGGTGGATAAAGGGAGTCTTCATTCTTTTCTCTTGCTTTTGTTTATTTTGTCTGATTTATATGATATTACTATTATGCCTTTCAAAAAAAAAAGAGAAACAGAAATAGAAACAAAGTCGAATATAAATCACACGCATACCTAATTTTTTTTTCATTTTTCCATTCTCGAATCTTCAAGAATCCGGTGAGAGAGGGAACTTTCTGATCAAACCTCCGCCGCATTCTCACCTCCTCCATTTCAATTGATCACCGGCATGGGTGTCGAGTTCACCATGAGTTCGCCGCTGTAAAGATTTCACTCAAGATCTACCTACTCCATCTCTGTTCAAGCTTCACTGTTGATTCCTTGTTTTCTCTTTCTCGTTGGCGTCGTCTGGATGCTGTGAGTAGAGTTCGTTCCTCTCCCTCTTCCTTCGTGCAATAGCATCTTCTCCTTCCTCCACCACTGCGTTATCACTGACGACTGTGCTCCCCTTCCTCCTTTGTTTGTGTGCGTTGTGGCAGTGCTCATGGGTAGCCATGGAAGCTTGATTCTGTCCTCTCTCTAGTTTGATTCTGTGCACACGTATGTATTAGTGAGTGAGGTACAAACTCTCCATTTCTTCCGTTCATCTGCGCATGCGTTCGAGGAAGCAAGAGCTGTTCATTTTCCTCTATTCTTGGTTCATCCTCCCCTGTTTCTCATTATAGACATCTTCACTCCTCTTTCGTTCATGCTGTTACAGATTCTTTTTCCTTCCTCCTCCTTGTTCGTTTTCCTAGGATCATCTCCTTCTCTGCTCGGTCATGCTGGTTCCAGGTGAGAAGCATCGATTTTTCTTTTTTTTTTGCTGGCTGTGTGTGTGTGTGTCTATTTTAGTGGAGATAATATTATTTGGTGTGTGAGGTTACTGCTGTGCATGATTATAGAAAGGGAGTAGTTTTCTGAACCAAGCAAAAATCTTTGTCTATTGAAGATGTTGTTTGTGCTTAGAGTATAACTAAATTTATATTGATTTTGTTGAAGAAATAAACTTGGGATGCCAGATTAAATTTTATATTGATGGTGTAGAATTGTTGAATAAATTATGGGATGGTATTTGAAGGAAGAAATTACTATTAAAATTTAAAAATTGGTGCCTATAAGATGTTTAACAAAATGCTGGAAAGGATGAATATTAGTGGATGATGGGGAATAGATGTGATGATTGTATTATTGATAATTAAATTGTTATGGAAGAGAATTATTCTCTATACAAAAAGTAGAAATTAGAAATAAGAGTAGTTTGGAAATAATATTATGAATTAGTAATTCAAGAGCTAATTTGTTAAAGATATTAGTCATTAGAATGTCTATGAAATGTTTGAAAAATGTTGAAAGTTAAGAGTTATCTGTGTTACTTTCCGAATTATTTTAGACTGATGATGATGATAAGATCTACAAAAGAAAATAACAATGGTATTTCTTGGGCACTAGGATTTAAAAAGTAAGCATTACTGGAAGAGGACCAGTTAGAAGTAAGTTACTTATTTGAAAACTTTTCAGATAAGTGGATACAGTCCCAACTGATATTTCATTAAAATCTCTTTTATTTAAATATTATATTTTTATGCAAATTCTTTTTATGACAACAATGTGATTATGAGATATTTTGTTGATTAAATTATATTATTTTATGAAATTATTTTACCAAAATTGATCATTTTAGTTAATCAATAAATGCAAGTTTGAATTCTAACTGTGGGATTTCAATTTGGAAATTATCAAATTGTTACAGAAAAATGATTCATGTGAGTTCAACATTGAAAAGGAAAATTTGATTGAATGGTGATCAATTTCTCGCATGTTTGAAAATGGTTTTAAAAAAGGGACTTTATATAGAACACTGGTTGCTAACGGCAGTTCCGTTAGCCCTTGGCGCGCCATGGTATACCTAGCTAGCAGGGTGTGTATAGGAGATGCTAGCCCCGTGCGATGGCCAACGCACGTGGAATGGAGGGGTGGTTATTCGTGAGCATCGTACTCACGTTTGTTTCGTGGCTTCGGCTGCGTTTGGATTACATACCCTCGTGGACTGTGTGTCCACGTTTATTTCGTGGCTTTGGCTGCGTTTGGTTACATACCATTGTGGACTGTGTGTCCACGTTTGCTTCGTGGCAAGAGCCGCGTTTGGTTATTTACCTTCGTGGACTATGTGTCCACGTTTGTTAATTGTTCTGATAAGTCCCTATTATATGAATTTGATTATTTGATAATTTTACATCCCATTAGTTTTAAATAGTAAATTATTTATAATTATTAATTTTGTTTATTTGCTTCTTTGCAATCAAGTGATAATATTATTTATTATGAGATTTTAATGGTTCGAGATTTTATTTAAAATTTTATAGAATCATTTTATTTCGAAGTTTACTAAATTTTTATAAAAATTGTTGCCTCTTTAACTAACATAATTGTTTAAATCTTTTGTTATGTTCAATTATTTATTGTTGGGACGTTATTCACTGAAAAAATTATTTTTGGTCTCAGATACCTTAGTTAACACCGATTCTCCAGTTGATCCATGAGAACTCATAGATGTGCTGGGTAAAGAACTGATCGAAATTTCCTTTTTAATGTAACTATCAATGCTTATGTATGTTATTTTGGAGAGGTCTGGTTAGGTGCTCCACATATGCTATGTCTAGGGCTTCTATTTTGGTATATATGCTGTCTATTCATTGGAAGAGCTAAGTTCTTGACTGACATGATATTCTGTAAATATTTTTGTATTGTAGAGTTTTGGAAGATCCTATTTGCAGACGAGGTTTTCTCAAAATTTTTACAATTTTTTTAACTTTATTATAATGACCAATACCAAAAATGTTAAAATATTAATATAAATTTTATTACATTTTAGAAATGAAATGAGTTTAAGATTAGAGGCTTACGGAGATGTGTTATATGGTTCACATCCCGTGCCGGTTACCTCTTCATGTTTTTTTTTTGGGGTGTGACAATCTTAATCCTCGTACAAAGCAATATGAACTAAAAGTTCAAAAAATAATTCATTTATAAAATTTAGCAAATCAATTGCCAAATGCATTTATTGACCTAAAGAATGTAACTAAATCACATATTCCAGCTATTAATGCTCCAATTAGAATTAATGTCTCGATTGGACAGCCTGTTATTGCAAATGATTCTAAACCACGCATAAAATGTGGAAGGCCCATTGATTTCAAAGATAAAAATCCTCAAAAAAGAAAAGGAGCTAGAAACACAGATGGTCAGATCAAGGATAATCAAAAAGATTTAGTAACTCATAAAGAGTCAATTAAGACTACTAATATTTCAATTCTAGAAGAAACTCAGGTACCTGAAATGTGTGAAAATAATGAGATCTCAATAAATTATATTATGAATGGAATACAATAAGACCGGAATGAAGTCAACGTTGATGATATTTTTGCATATAATATAGCGTTTGATGTAATAAATGATAATGAGGATCATGAACCAAAGTGCATTAAGGAATGCAAACAAAGAGAGGATTGGAAAAAATGGAAAGATACAATTGAGGCAGAATTAAAATCACTTGAAAAGCAAAATGTTTTTGGACCTGTAGTCCACACTCCTGAAGGTGTTAAGCCGATAGGATATAAATAGGTTTTTGTGTAACAAAGGAATGAAAATAGTAAAATTGTAAGATATAAGGCATGGCTTGTGGTTCAAGGATTTACACAAAGGCCTGAAATTGACTTTGCTGAAACATACTCACCAGTGATGGATGCAATTACTTTTCGATATTTAATTAGCCTGGCAATAAGTGAAGGACTTGATTTACGTCTAATGGATGTTGTTACGACTTATTTGTATGGTTCACTCGATAGTGACATTTACATCTGTCACACCCCAAAAATCAAGTGTGATCAGCACGGGATATAGGCACAAAACTCATATCCCTTAAGCCGTGATCGAAGAAACTCTAAAATTAATACGTTAAACACACTAATAGAATAATTAGAAATTGTTAAAATACTAAATTAGATATTCAATTTTAAAAGAAATGTGAGAATCCTACCTGTAGTCTACGTGGAGCACCTAAGGCCAGACGTCAACATAGGTATAAAGTTCAAATTTTTCATCAAATTAGGATTTGACTAAAATAATCCTTCTACTTCAATTCAACAATAAAACTCCTCAATGGATATCTCGAGTCACGAGTTCAACTATATCATCTGAGATCAAAATATCTTTTCCAGTAAATAACGTCCTAATAATAAATAGGAAGAATGACAATTAAGGACCTGCTAAGACCATTAATCCTAATTACAGACCGTGAAATTTTGAAATCCCTTGTGATTAAAAAATTGTAATTTGTGAGGTGGGATTCATTATTGTCACTTGGAATTTACTAACCTAACTTGAGAATATTTGTAACGTATATTATGAAAACATGAAACCCCACTTGAAAATTGAATGTTTAACAAAAATCGCCACTTGAGAATTCACTAACTCAACTTGAAAAAATTTCTAACATATATTGTGAAAATATAAAACTTCACTTGGGAATCGATTATTTAATAAAAAATACCAATTTAGATAAGTCACTTTTTATTAATGATTTTCAAGTGGGGTTTCATTTTTTCACAATATACGTTAGAAATTTTTTCAAGTCCAATTAGTGAATTCTCAAGTGGCGCTTTTTGTTAAACATTCCATTTCCAAGTAGGGTTTCATGTTTTCACAATATACGTTAGTAATTTTTTCAAGTTGGGTTAGTGAATTCTCAAGTCGCATTAGTGAATCTCACCTCACAAATTACATTTTTTTATCACAATTAAGGACCATGGTTCTTAACTCTGATTTCAAAATTTCACGGTCTATAATTGGGATTAATGTTCTTAGCAGGTCCTTAATTGTCATTCTCCCTAATAAATAATTGAACATGAATAAAAGAAAAGTTTGAAACAATTATGCAATCAAAGAGGCAATGATTTTCATAAAAATTTAATAATCTTCAGAAATAAAAGAATTTTATAAAGTTTAAATAAAATCTTGAACTATTAAAATATCATATCAACTATTATTATCACTTGATTGTAAGAAAATAAATAAATAATTATAAATAATTTACTAATTAAAAACCAATGGAATGTAAAATCATCAAATAATCAAATTCATATTACAAGGACTTATCAGAACAATTAACAAATATGGACACATAATCCACGAGAGTAAATAACCAAACGCGGCTTTTGCCATAAAGACAAACGTGGACATACAATCTACGAAGGTAAGTAACTAAATACAGCTGAAGCCACGAAATAAACGTGGACACATAGTCCACGAGGGTAATGCTAACCAAACGCGACTTGAAGCCATGAAACAAACGTGAGTACAATGCCCACGAATAACCATCCCTCCGTTCCATATGCGTTGCCCATCACACGGGACTAGCACCTCCTATAAACACCTTGTTAGCTAAGTGTACCATGGCACGCCAAGGGCTAACAGAACTGCCGTTAGCAACCAGTGTTCTGTATAAAGTCCCTTTTTAAAACCATTTTCAAACATGTGAGAAAATCATCACTTTCAACATACAGTTCTTATTCTTAAAATCAAACTCGCATGAATAATCTTAACCACTAAAACTTGTCAGAATAAAATTTCATATCCAATGCTCATGCTTGTATTTATTGAATAAAAAACAATTTCAACGTCGAACTTGCATAAGTCATTCTCTGTATCAATTCAATATTTGATAAAATAAAAATCTCATAATCAAAGTTCAAACTTGATTTAATCGATCAAATAACATTTCAAATTTGGTAAAGCTAATTTCTCAAAATGAAGTAATGTTAATTAATAAATATCTAATAATCGCATTGATGCTATTAAAATGATTTCCAGAAAAACGTAATATTTTAGTAAAGGAAATTTTGATTGAAAAAAAATCAGTTGGAACGCTATCCACTTACCTGCAGTATTTCCAAGCACAAAAATTCACCCTTTAACGCTTCAAACAAACCTTCCTTACTACTTCAATCAAGATTTCTTTTCTTCAAACCTCCTATTCAATAATACGGAAATTTTAGTGACCTTTATCCGAGTCTAATAAAACTCCTTTTCCATAACAGGGGCAATATACCCCTAAGTTCTCAAATTGATCCTATACATATCTTAAGTCTTTTCAATCCTCACAATACTACATATTATTTATTTATCCAAAGCTTTCTCTATGTTACACTTGTCTTTCCAACTCGACTTAAGAGCAAGTAACTAAATTTTGATCAAAGTATGAACATGCATGCACACCTGAACTTTATTACTCTATTAAATTAAGAAATTATATCCATAACTCACTTCATCAAACACTTTAAGTGCACCACAAAACAAGTCATAAATCAACACCATAATTTATAAATCATCAATAGTACAATTTCCAAAATTCAATTAGCCACCCAACAACTACATGATCAAAAAATTTTCATAAAGCTAAGTTAACTTAAATAGCACCTATACTGAATGCATTTTATTTCATAAATTACATAATTAGATAAAACTCATCCCAATAGACATTTTTTTTGTCAATCACCTTTCATGTATTAATTCTTAAACTCAAACCAAACTTTTTCCTCCTTGATTCCACCTTCCAAAATTTTATTAAATAGATAATAGATAATTGAATCAACTTACCAAGTTTTACAAAGGTAATTGTCTTCTAATGATGGTTTATCTAATCAATAACATAATCATCAAATATATATATATACACACACATATATATCACGTCTTGTTCGCTGTCAAGCGTTAGAATATTTCAGAGTTATCATTCTCACGAGAATTTTAGGCAAATGAGGGTTGAAATTCACTATCGAGCTTTGAGATAGGTTGAGCAAAATTAAAAGTATTTCTTTTTATGTGAAAGTAATAAAAATTTGATTCAAAATAATTTTAAAGCAATTAAAACTTGTTAAAACTTTGATTTTTGGAGATGAGGAACTAGGATTATCCCTCCCCTTTGTATTTCATAAAACTTAAATTAATTCCTCTCTAGTATATTTTTAATGAAAATAAGTGTTAGTCTAAGATTCTAATTCACTTGAAAGAGCTTTCTCAAGTCAAAATTAAGTATATTTGAAAACACTAAAATTTTACAATCCCTTGAAAATAATTAGTGCGAACAAAGTTTAAACACCAATTTTAATGTGACTATAAAAGGTTAATAAAATATCTCTATTTTACCAACAAAACCATCCATTTATCTTTGTAAAATTTCAAGTTCAAAACTATTTCATCCAAGTTCTACACCTAACTTAGCTCTCTCAAGCACAACTCAGGTGAACAAAGCAATATAAATGGTGATCAAGCACTTAAAAGCATTAAACATAGGATAAAATAAGCACATATATATCATTAACTACCAAAAGAGAGGAATATCCAAGTATTAATCCATACAAAGGGTTGAAATAATCCTAGAACAAGGGAACTAGCTACTCATATTCAGAACAGAGCCATAAATATTACAATATATAGCATCCATATTAGAAACAAAGAGAGAAAAGGGAAGAGAAGAAGAAAAACCGAAAGAAATCCACTTGAATCTCTTCAAATTTTCAATCCTTGGCCAAATCTTCTTCAAGAACCCCAAACCCTAGCAGAGCAAACTTCAAAGAATCTCTCCAAGTCATGGTCTCCCGTCTGCAGGCGCGTTTATGGTTTTTCTACCCTAATTTTTTTGTTCTGAAGCTCAAAACGCACAGCAAAATTAAGGCCATGCGCCGCGGCACACATGCATCTTCAAGACTTCGATCTCTGTGCCACATGCCGCGACGCACTGTGCATGCGCCGCGGCACATGACACAGAGTCTCTAATCTTTTGTTTTGATTCCCATTTTTTTGCTATTTGCTTCCATATGGACCTTCAATCATTGTTTAGCTCTATTTCTTTAAAAATATCTAACAAAAATCAACTAAAACAATAAATAAGGTTATGAGATCTTTTAAAGTTTAAAATCAAAATCAGCATCTTTGTAAAATTCTCAATAAACTCTATTTTCTATGTCAATTTGAAATGATGCTTATTTTCCTATATTTAATCCAAAATATTTACAATTGATCTAATTTAGCACATAAAGTATAAGAAAATGCACTAAATTGACGTTAATTTCAATAGGTTATCAACTATATAACAAGATTTTTTCTTGAACATTTTATTAAATATTTTACGGGCATTGATTCTTAACCAGTTATCAAGATTATTTAATAGAAATGCCACATAAGTTTTAAATTTAAATTACTCAAACCTCCTACTGTACAAAAGTCATTCACAGCAACAGAGCAAGAAAGAACGCATCAGAATTTCTAGCCACCTAGTACGCACATAGCATCAACAAGGAAGAGGAGACTCTAGGATCCTTAACTTAACAATGGCAACAGCAAACAGAAGGAGATTCTGGGCGTGTGAACAGGGAGGTAGAACGCAGATACCCCTCCCAATCATACACAAGCAAAAGACAGAAATAGGTGAAAAAGGTTCAGCGCTGACGCGACGCAAGGAGGAGGAGGAAGAAGATGTCTCCAGCTCTCACATGGTCGCCGACATGAACAGAAAAGAAGCGAAGGTGAACGAAGAAAAAAATGGAGGTCGGAGATCGCAGAGTAGAGGATTTGGAATTCTCTCATCTCCAACGAGTTACTGTGCTTGTCCAACATGAATCAGGGAGAGATTTCTGGCACCAAGAAACAGAACCAAGGGAGGACCGACACACAAACCAGAACAGAAGAGAAGAAACGATTGAAACCTTGATTGAATTCCCCTATAGCAGCGAATGAACGCTCACCTGCTGGTGATGGTCGAGGACGAAGAAGGGCGATCAAAGAAGAGAGGTTTGATAGGAGCTCTCTCTCTCTCTCTCTCTCTCTATATGTTTTGTAAAAATTGAAAATGAAGATGGAGGAGAGGGTGAAAACTGAGTGCGTTTTTAAATCCCTGATTGTGCTCTGTTTTTTTATAAGGGCATTTTAGGAATTTTGCAATGCCAGAAAAATAAAATATCTCCTATGGCACTTTCGAGATTCGAACTCTGAAGCAACAAGTAGAAATTCAAAAGATTTGCCGCTAAGCTACTCGTTCATTTTACTGCAGCTGCTCCAAAATTTACAAAATGAAATCAAAATATATTCTTATAAATTTTAATATTATTATTTATTTCTTTATTTTTTTGAGGGTTATTACAACATGAAACTCCCTGAAGGATTCAAATTGCTAGAAGCATACAATTTGAGTTCTCAAGAAAATTATTTGATTAAGTTAAATAAATCCTTATATGGATTGAAACAATTAAGGTGTATGTGGTATAATCAATTTAGTGAATATCTATTAAAAGAAGGTTATAAAAATGATCCAATTTGTCTTTATATTTTTATGAAAAGATCTGGAAAGAGTTTGCTATAAATGCTATTTATGTTGATGACATAAATATCATTGGAACACCTAAAGAGCTTTCAAAAGCTATAAATCACTTAAAGAAAGAATTTGAAATAAAAGATTTAGGAAGAACAAAATTTTACCTTGGATTGCAAATAGAATATATGAATAATAAAATTTTTTTATATCAAGAAACTTATACAAGAAAGGTCTTAAAATAATTTTATATGGATAGATCACATCTGTTATGTATCCCAATGGTTGTAAGATCATTGAAGGTAGATAAAGATCCTTTTAGACCTCGAAAAGGTGATAAAAAACTACTTGGCTTAGAAGTACCATATCTTAGTGCAATTGGAACATTAATGTATCTTACTACTCACATGCGACCTAATATCTCATTTGCTGTTAACTTATTAGTAAGATACAGTTCTTCTAACTTATTAGTAAGATACAGTTCTTCACCAACACGAAGGCATTGGAATGGTGTTAAGCACATTTTTTGTTATCTTAAGGGTACTATGGATATGGGATTATTTTATTCCAAAGTACCTAAAGTTGACCTTATTGATTATGCAGATGCTAGATTTTTGTCTGATCCTCATGTTGGTAGATCACAGACAGGTTATTTGTTCATATGTGATGGTACAGCCATTGCACGGCGATCTATGAAACAAATAGTATCAGCCACATCATCTAATCATGCAGAAATTCTAGCTGTACATGAAGCAAGTCGAGAATGTGTGTGGTTAAAATCATTAATCCATCACATACGAGCTATTTGTGGTATGTCTTCTAATAAAATGATCCTCAACGATCATATATGAAGATAATACTGCTTGTATTGCCCGATTGAAAGAAGGATATATTAAAGGAGATAGAACAAAACATATTTTACTAATTTTTTTTTCACTTATGATCTTCAAAAGAATGGTGGAATTCACATCTAGCAAATTCGTTATAAAGAAAATTTAGTTGATATGTTCACCAAGTCACTTCCTACTAAAATATTTGAAAAACTTGTTCATGATATTGGACTTTGCAGACTCAGAGACATCAATTGATGCTATCAAGAGGAAGAGTTAACACGTGTTGTACTCTTTTTTCCTTGTTTAAGGTTTTTTCTCATTGGGTTTTCCTAGAAAGGTTCTTAATGAGGTAGCATTGAATAGTATATCAATGAATGATGTACTCTTTTCTTCTGCTAGGTTTTTTCCCATAGGGTTTTTCTTAGTTGAAGTTTTTAATGAGGCACATTCTTATATAATGGATATCCAAGGGGAAGTATTATGAATATTACAAGGATAATGGATATCCATCTTCATCACCTCTTCATCTTCATATTCTCCCATGAAACTCCCACCATCATGAGAGTTGATTACCTTTTATTTGCTTTTTTCATTTATGTAACCTTTAATGTGTAGGATCATGTCTATAAATAGGGCATGTAATTTATATTGAAAGATACAATAATTCATAAGAAATTCTCTCATTCTCTTGTCTTTATTTCTTCTCTCAATATCTTTATTTTTTAGTTGTTAATTTCATAACAAAGAGTAAGTTATAAGTAAAATTAGAGGAGTGAAACTGAAAAAAGTCATATCGGGTTTGGGTTCCTTGACCTCAAGTGCGTGAACCCGTAAGCCACCATGCCATTTTTATTTTTCATTTTTTTAAACCAGCAACCGCCATACCATATATTGACTTTAATTTTTTAATGCAAAAATTTTATTTTATAAAGCAACTATTCTTTTTTTACTATATGTGTCTACGTACCAAATTATTTAATGATGATCAAAATCTCTATTAATCTTGACAGGTAGTATTAACTCCTCTACCATATTGCACAAAATATATTTAAACTTTCGATATGATGCCAAAAGTGCTTTTGATTTTAAATAGTTATTAATAAGACTTTTTCAACTTTCAAATTTGTAAATAATATTCTATCATATTATTTATTAGACGCACGATGAGATTATTCAGGCACAAGTCTAGGTTTGATTATCTATGATGACGTTATCTTCACAAATTTGACAATTCAAAATAAATCCTTGTCACAATCATTTTAAGCTCTAGTGAAATTTATTTTAATTTTAATTTTAAAATTTATTTTAAATATTATTTTTTTCTCTTTAAAGTTGTAGATGCTATTTTTGTTTACTATTGCCTGGAAAAATGTTTTAGATCACGTTTAAAAAAATAAATGAGTGTTCAAAGTTAGACATGAAATAATGTCAATATCAATAGCCTAGTCACACCAAAACACCATCAAATGGAAGACATGAGGGGTTGAACCAAGTAAAACTCTCATATACAGCGGAGGGTATGTGTGTAAGCTTCTTTAAATAAAAAAAAAAAGGTGGAAGGCCAGTGAGTGATAAAAACCACAATGACAATAACAGTGTCCTTTAAAAAAGGAAAAATTGTATATAAGAACCTATAAAAATATTATTTGCAGATAATGATCAATAATCAGTGATCATTAAAAAAAAAATAAGTTTATGTTTCTATTTTAACAGCGAGCCATTATTTGTCAGTCTTTATTCGTAAATGATATTTTTTAAAGGTCTTCTTATGTGATTTTTCCCCAAAAAAAAAATAGTTTCTCTCATGTGGGACCTACCCACCTATATATCTACCATTCTGCTTCGCTTGTATCTGCACCATGTAGCTAGGGGTGTTCACGGGACGGGACGGGATCGGGACACCCCCGTCCCGTGTCCCGTCCCGAAAAAAATATCGGGACTGAATTTTGATCCCGTGTCCCGTCCCGTCCCGAAAGTTGTCCCGTCCCGTTAAGAGTCGGGACGGGACCGGGACAAGATCGGGACGTCCCGCCGTCCCGATAAATGGAATAATGTGAAAAAAAATCTGAATAATAATGTTTTTTAAAATTTTAAATTATATAATTTATTAAGTTTAAAATCAAAATAACGCAAGTACATAAATAACAATAATTTAAAATCAATTATTGAATTATATTAATCACAACTACATATTATAATAAAAAATGCAAGTGATCTTTATGCTATAAGATTAGCAACAACAGGCAAATCAAACACAACATTAAATAATTGTTCTTCTTCTTTAGTAAAGATGTATTAAGCCAATTACTCTTCTAAAAATAAGTAAGAAATATGTTATAAAGAAAATTTATTAAATAGATAGATATAAGAATAAATTATATTAATATAATTAATATATTATAAAGAAAGATATCACCATGTTTACTCCATGCCATTAAAATTATCAATATAAAACAACTTTAGTTTTAAATAAGAATTACAAGTATTAAAATTATAATTGATATAATTAATATAAGTATAGATTATGTTGATATAATTAATATATTTAAAATAAAAAATAATATATATAATATTCGGGACGGGACGGGACGTCCCGATGGTAATCCCGTGTCCCGTCCCGTCCCGCACTCCTTTCTTGTCCCGTCCCGTAAAGTCCCGTCCCGATTATTTTCGGGCCGGGACAAGACCCGTCCCGATATGATCGGGACGATACCGGGCCAATCGGGACGGGTCCGGAATGAACACCCCTACATGTAGCGGTAGTGGAGGAGCAAATTCTCCCAAAAGTAGTACAGATGTGACTGAAAATTCAAGGGAGAACCCAATTAAAAAATAAAATAAAATAAAATAAAATAGCATCACTGGTTAGCGAAATTGAAGTTATAAACTGAAGCTTAGTGACATCACATCCTTCTGAAAAGAAGTAGAATACAATCAAATCTGAATTCTGATTGATATGAAGCGTTCCCCACAAGCATAGCCTTGTTCCATCTGTCTTGCGGTGCTAGAATTTAGAACCTTTCACAGCACTATCACATTACTTTGCTAAGGAAAATGCAAATGCTATTTTGTTTAGTTCTGTTTAGAGAGATCACTTTGAATCACATTTTGATAAATGCGAATCCAAAATTGGGCATCCTCTAGCAATAAAAATCAATGTATTCCCATATATTGTATAGTAAAAAAATAATGTGACTCATTCCAGAAAATTACATCCTTCTAGAATAAAGTCTAATAACCCTTTTGCATAATCCACTCATTTTTCTTTTGAAATAAAAAGAATAAATTGATGGTTGATAATGATATGACTTAGAAGCTGAGGTCCCTACTATTTGTTCCTTCGTTGACTATAGATGCAAAACGCGTTAGCCACGTGAGTGCATGTGAAAGTTTTTTTTATGCAATCATATCTTAATTCCTACCATCAAAGTGTTGTTGATTCTGTTTGAGCGCAGACCAGAACTATCAAAACTTGATAGCAATGGCTCATATATATTCTTCTGCTCAAGGATGGAACTATGATGTGTTCCTGAGTTTCAGAGGCGCAGATACCAGAAGAAGTTTCACAGGCTTTCTGTATCATGCTCTGTGTCAGAAGGGCATTAACGCATTCATAGATGATGAGGAGCTCAAGAGAGGAACAGAGATTTCTCCATCTCTTGTTAAAGCAATTGAAGATTCAAGGATTTCTATCATTGTATTCTCTGAAAACTATGCTTCTTCCACATGGTGTCTTGAGGAGCTAGTTAAGATCCTTGATTGTATGAAAGTCAAGGGGCAATTGGTTTTGCCAGTTTTTCACTATGTAGATCCCTCTGTGGTACGCCATCAAAAAGGAAGTTTTGGCATAGCCATGGCCAAGCATGAAGACAGATTCAAGAATAATATGGAGAAGGTGCAGAAATGGAAGTTGGCTTTGTCTGAAGCAGCTAACTTGTCTGGTTGGAGCTTAGAAAATGGGTATAGTGCCATTGATTCTTCTCCCTTTTCTACTTTGGAAAAAAAGCTTGCAGAGTTTTTTAGGTGTTTGTTAAAAGTTTTTAAATAAAACATAACAGGTGAATCAAATCCTTGACTTGTTATTGTTATAAAAGCTCTTGAAGATGCAAGTGAATTTAGTGGGTTTTGATTTTTTGGATCTTCCTTTGTCCATATATATATATATATTGCTTCAATAACATACAAAATATCTCCGTTAAACCAAATAAAAAGCTTAGAGTATAACAAAATCCGAAATGAACCAAACTATTCATAGTTTATGAAAGAGAGAACATAATAGTAGGTTCTTGTACTTTGATTGCATTTTGTTTTTAATTCCTACAATTTTATTTTATTGTTTCTAGTCCCTTTAGTTTAATCAGTTTGCAACGTTAGTCCCTATAATTTTAAAAATATACATAAAGACCATGAAATGGCATTGATGGAGGTGATTTCCCTCTGCTAACTCCTTTGCTGACATGGTAAAAATATGCTGATGGCATGGAAATAAATTAACCAAGCACGATTAAGAATAAAAGATAAATGAAAAAAAGTCTTTCTTTCATATTCAGCTTGAACAGAATGTGAGAGACAAAGATAAGATTAAGTACATGTAAGCAAAAGGGTTAAAAGTTAAATACATAAAAGCAAAATTTACTCCATCAATTCCAACTCATGGTCATTATGTGCATTTTTAAAACTATAGGGACTAATCCTGTAGATGGATCAAACTAAAGGGATAGGGAACAACAAAATAAAACTATAGGGACTAAAAACAAATGCAATCAAAGTACTAGGACCTATTATTGCATTTTCACTTTATGAAAATATGGTTTCTTATTTATTTATGTTATATATAGATTTCCCACTTGCTTACTTTGTGGTTACTCTACTTTGTAACCGGTTAGGTATGAATTTGAGCTCATTCAAAGGATTGTTGAAGAGGTCTCTAGCAAATTAAATCACACCCTTTTGCACATTGCTGAATATCCAGTTGGACTGGAGACTCGTTTATCAGATGTGAAATCACTTTTGCAAATGGAGCTTGGTGAACGTATTCGAATGATAGGAATCTATGGATTTGGAGGCATAGGAAAAACAACAATTGCTAGAGCTCTATTTAACTTGATTGCTAATCAATTTGATGCTGCATGTTTTCTTGCTGATATTAGAGAAAGTTCAAATCAACCAAAAGGTTTAGCACAGCTCCAAGAAGCACTTCTTTTTGATTTAGTTGGAGACAAGAACATTAAGCTAGGAAATATTTACAAAGGAATCCCCATTTTGAAGAAAAGATTGTGCTGCAAAAAAATCCTTTTGATTCTTGATGATGTTGACAAATTAGAGCAGTTACAAGCTTTAGCAGGAGGAAGAGATTGGTTTGGTGTTGGGAGTGTAATTGTGATCACAACAAGAGATAAACACTTGCTAGTTACTCATCAAGTTGAAAAAACATACGAGGTAAAGCAACTACACCATAGTGAAGCATTTGAATTGTTCACTTGGAACGCCTTCAAAAGAAAATCACCAGATTTAGGTTATTTTGAGATTTCAAACAGTGTGGTTCTATATGCTGAAGGGCTTCCACTGGCTTTGAAAGTAATGGGTTCAAATTTGTATGGTAAAACAGTGGATGAGTGGAAATCTGCATTGGACAAATATGAAAAGATTCCCAACAAAGAGGTTCAAAATGTACTCAGAGTAACCTATGATAATCTGGAGGACAATGAGAAAGAAATTTTCCTAGACATAGCATGCTTCTTCAAAGGAGAGACAGTAGAATATGTTGAAAAGACACTAAAAGCTTGTGGCTTCTACCCAAAATTTGGTATTAGTGTACTAATTGATAGGTCTCTTATAACTATTGATGAGTATAATAGATTAAGAATGCATGATCTGATTCAAGACATGGGAAGAGAAGTTGTAAGAGAAGATTCTCCATTAGAGCCAGGAAATCGGAGTAGAATATGGTACCCTGAAGATGTTTATGAAGTACTCACACAAAATACAGTAAGATCCATGCTTTTGACATTCCAAACGTTTTGTTTGATAAAGAACTTGGTTGGTTTTATCATTTCAATTCTAACTATGTTATTTCCTTATGCTTTTGTCATAAAGGGGTCAAGCAAAATTCAGGGCATGATGGTGGACCTCCCAGATCATTATTTGGTACATTTGACAGAAAACACCTTCAAAATGATGAAAAATATGAAAATTCTTATAGTTAAAAATGCACACGTTTTTGGAAGCCCTCAACATCTTCCAAACAATTTAAGATTGCTTGATTGGATGGAATACCCCTCATCATCATTACCATCCAACTTTCATCCGAGAAAACTTGTTGTCCTCAACTTATCTCGTAGTTGTTTAAACATGCAGGAGCCATTCAAGGTATATGTCATTGTTATGCATTTTTTATGTTTCATTCTTCAAAACATGCATCTAATAGTGATTCAATTTTTGGTTTGCAGTATTTGGACTCTTTGACATCTATGGATTTGAGCCAATGTGATTGCTTAACAAAACTACCTGACATTTCTGGAGTTCCAAATTTGACAGAATTAAATCTTGATTACTGTGCAAATTTAGAAGAGGTTCATGATTCTGTTGGATTTCTTCAGAAACTTGTAGAGTTGAGGGCTTCCGGATGCACCAAACTAAGGGAATTTCCACGTGTCATTAGCTTGCCATCACTCAAAAGTTTGATCCTTATATGGTGTTCAAGCATTCAAAAATTTCCAGATATCCAAGGAAAAATGAAGAATCTTGTATCCATTTCTATTGAAAACAGTGGAATAGAAGAATTACCAGCTTCCATTGGAAACCTCAGTGGACTTCAAGAACTATGTATGACATCTTGTTTAAGTCTCAAGGAACTACCAGAAGAAATTGACATGCTACAAAATCTAAGAGACCTTAACATTGAGGGATGTCCACAACTCCGAAATTTTTTAAAGAAGTTGCAAGAAATGGGACAACAAGCCCCTACCTTTCATAATGTTGATTCATTGAATCTAGAAAACTGTGGCCTATTAGATGAAGATCTTCCCATAATTTTATACTCTTTTCCCAAGCTGACTTCACTAGACCTTTCAAGGAACAAATTTGTAATGCTTCCATCCCGCATGCAGGAGTTTCTTTACTTGCAGTTACTTCACGTAGACAGTTGCAAGTTTCTCCAAGAAATTCCAAGCTTACCTCCTGATTTAAGATTCATTAATGCAACAAATTGCACATCATTGAATGCAGAGTCATCAAATTTACTATTGAGTCAGGTTTGTATTTGTGAAAGCAGATTTCCCCTTTTAATCTTGTGAGCCTCACATTAACTTTCCTTTTCTTATTTCACAGTATTCTTATCATTTACTTATTTCACAGGAAACCTTTCAGGAAAGGGAGTTACATGTTGTGGTGCCTGGAGCAAGCATTCCAATGTGGTTTGATCTCTGCAACAAAGGAAAATATATGACGTTTTGGGTTCGTGAAAAATTTCCAGTGATTTCTCTATGTTATGTTTTTGCAGTAGAGGGTGAAATGAAGGAGGGTCTCAGTTGTCAAGTTCACTTTTTTATTAATGGTGAAGAATTGTTTGAATTGGAAATACCAACAAGCTTTTCAAAAATGATGACAGATCATGTGTGGCTATTTGATTTGCAAACTCTACCATCCTTCCAGGGGAATCCGTGTGATTCCTACTTGGATGATAATTGGAATCAGGTGGAGATTTCTTGTGAGAAAATGTCTAAAGTTCCAAATGTAAATGTTAGCTGGTGTGGTATTCATGTAAGCAAGCAAGGACAAAATGAGATAAGATTCACAGACCCTTACTCGGAATCAGATTCTATCACAGAATCTGATAACAATGAGGCTGAATTGAAGATGATCATTAGTAATGACAATTCAATGGAAGATTTTCAAGTCTTTAAAGACAATTGTTGCAATGTCAATGATAACTTGGAAGCCACTGATACAGAGGATAGCAAAATGCTTGAACGCTGGGGAAATGAGCGAAACATAGCTCAAAGTGATGAGGAAATGGAAGCATTTTATGCTTCTTTAGATATTGAAACCTTTGATCCATTACCTTCAAAAGATATCACATCTATTTCTGAAATGGAAACATGTACCAAACCAAGTGAAGGAATCCAGAAAGCGTGGAAGACATTTCAAGAGTTTCTCACCAAAGATTTTTCTGACATGTTGAAGCTTGAAAATTATAGCGCCATGAAAGCTGCATTAGATTGCCTCTCTGGATTATCTGCAGATGATGGAGTGTCAGTAGAAATGAGATCAGTGATAATAGAAGTTTCAAGGGAATTCACTCATTGGAGCTGGGATTATAGCAATGCAAGCAAGAAAATGGAGATTGCCAAAACCAGCATGTTGAAAGTGCATGAAATAGATGAGGGTCTCGAAGCTAACAAGAGCCATTTCAAGGAAGTGATGATCACGAAAAATGAGTTGCAAAACCAGCTGGCTTATTTGGAGGAGAGAAAGAAAGAGCTAGAGGATCAAATCAGTGCGATTAAGTCTGACATCAGTACTTTTGATTCAGCTCAGAAAATGGCTACTAAGAGAAAGAGAGAAATTTTCGAGGAAGGAAAGTTGCTCATAGCTCAAAGAGATGAGTTGAGAGAACAATTGCCACTCTTGAGGTATGACTGGGCACTAGCAAAGAACATCCAAACAAATATCAGTACTGAATGGTCAAAACTTAGAGAAAAAATAAATAACAAAAGCATAGGTGTTTTTCTCAGTGAAATGTAGTACGTGATGTAAGAGAAGGGGGAAATAAGAATGGCAATGAAGTATTAAACTCATGAGGTCAAGTTCAATCCAACTTTAAAGATGATTATAATGATTGCAATGTGTAAAATAATTAGGAGTTCTTTGCTGATTATAAAGATTGAAATGAAAGATGATTTAATATCCCTTCAAGATAAGTAGCTTGTTTAGGATCTCTCATCATGTATCCAAGGTAGTTTCCTTTGTTCATATGATTCAAATCCTTAACTTTATTTAAAAAGCATCAAGTTCTCATCATTCTACTTAATTATTAGTTATGAATACTATAACAATGAGAATATATATTTTTGTAAATTTTTTGCATTAGAAAATTAGTAGCTCAAGCCAATGGCAAACTAAAAGAGAACAAATTCAGAAATTTAAAAAAAAAAAACATAAGAACAAAACACATCTTTAAGGACTAAATTGATAAAAAAATTCAACTAATTTGAGGGTCAATTTTTTCTCATTTTGTCATGTGTACTTATCAAGTCATCAACATACTTTATGTATCAAATTAATTTGAAAGCCAATTTTTACTTCAAAATCTAAAAGACTAATGAGATAACTTAAAAAAAACATAAGAAATTAAATTGATAAAAATTAAAAATTTAAGAGACTTAATTGGTAATTGAAATAAATATGAAAACTAAAAGTTTTGTTATCTCTCTCTGTTTTTTTTTTTTTTAATTTCTCCATGGTATCCCCTAACACGAGTTCCAGAGACTTATTAGTGGGATTCTAGTTAAAGGGTTAATCTCTTTCAATAAATGCTCTTACATTTGCATGGTTAATGAATCAAATTTTGATCACATGCTTTAAAACCAATGACTTAAACTACAGGAACTCACTAAGCATCCTATATTTAAGTGTGATTAATTACTATTAAAGAAAAATATAATTTTCAATTCCAAAATTTTCTCAAAATTATTGATTAAATTTTTGAACTTTTAAATTGTTACTATTCAGTTCATATAGTTTATTTATTAAAAAAATTATATGAATTAATTTATTTCAAATCAAAAAAGGCTAAATTATACATTAGTCTCATGAACTTTGGACCATATATACATAACTTTCTTAACATTTAATAATTTACAATGAACCCCCTCGTCTCTTGTATTTATGTAGATAACTTTATATAATTAGTTTTATATATTAATTATCTACACATAATTTAAAGTTATGGGTTATTCATATATCAATCAAAGTTTAGGGCCTTAATTACACAAAAAAAGGAGGTTTATTATTAAGTTTTAAAAGTTAAGGAAGTTATTTATATATGATTTAAAATTTAGAAGAGTTGTGTGTAATTTAACAATTATAAAATTTAGGATTAGATAGCTTTGTCTTAAAATTTAGAAACTAAAAAAAATTAAGGACTAAAATTTTCATTTTTTTGGTAATAAACTAAAAGTTTTATTCTTTGTTGTTATTAAGATAAAAAATTTACCGTTTGACATGAACTGTGACGCTTGAGACCCGGGCTGAAGCCCAAACGCCTGGCAAAAAAACCCACCGTTTCTTCCCAGCCCTGGCCTCTTTGCGCCATTATCGTGTCTGGGAATCTGGCCTCAACGAGTCTCCGTCGCTGCCAGTCGAGGTATTTGGCGACGGTCTCAGCACTGCTGGATGCCGCAGTAGAACGTAGGCGAAAGATTCTCTTGTTCTTTTTAGAGTATGTACATGATTTTCATTTACCTTTTGATCTTCGATTAATTTTTACTTCCTTTCTTTTTGCTCCTTGCTAGAGGGTATTGCAGGGAGCTCAAATTTGGTGCCTTTATGTGATTATACATTTATTTTTTATGGGGAAAATTTAGTAGCTTCTTATGAGTTTGGCAAAATTTGGAGCGAATGCTCTGGAACATGTAAGATGTAACCCATTGATGATTTTTCATTCGGAATTGTTGAACTCGAAAGTTTTTGACATATAAAATGTTATTTACCACACCTCAAAATGAAGTTATGGCACTGTACAAGGTTTAGTGATTTAGGAGTGGAGAGGAAACCTATAGATATGTGCGTGTGTATAGCTAGGAAGCTAAGTGAAAGTAATTCAGGGATGCTAGTGACGCCATTGTTGTTTACATGTATGGTCAACCTGTATGATGAAAGAGAAGACGGGTTACTAGTGATTGCTTAAGCCAAGGGTTTTTTGAATTTTTCTCTGAGCGAAACCGTATGAACGTTTGAAATTTTTTATCTTGCTTTACAATGTTCACAATTTCTATTGACATATTATCAAATGCTTCCTTCAAGTATATGGATCGTTGAGAACCAAAAGAAGTTTGGTTTGCTTAATTTGTCTATCTCATTTTTAATTGGATTACAAAGTCAACTTTCAAATAAATTGTCCTCATATTTATTTTGTTACTTTATAGCAACTCGATGAGATCTTATTGCAAGTTATGCGTTTTTCTTTTCCTGATGGCTCTCTTGCATTGAGAGAGTGCATTTGGGTACAATAGTAGCTTGCAAATTTGTAAGCTAGTGTATATAGATTGGTAGGAAATAAGTTGGTGATTAATGATCTTCAAACTAAGATTTCTTAGAGGAATCTTTTTTCATTGTTATCTGCATAACAATTGAATGGTAATGTGTCCAATTTTCTGAGCTAGGTAGGTCTGACTCCTTAAGTATATTCTGCAATTTTATGGGAAAAAGGTGAATATTAGCTCTGTTACATTTTTCTGTCTCTTGGCTGTTGGATTTTACATGTAACTTAAGGTTCTCATTACATCTATTAGAATTTCATTCATTTACCATAATGGCACCCCTTTTTGTTCCCCTCCCTTTCCTCTCTCTAAAATGTTATTTAGTAAAGTTAAACATCTTTGATGGTAGGTTATACTTCGTCTGATTTTTAGCTTGCTGTGGGAGGTTTCAGTAAGCTGAATTGATGGCAGTTGTATTTCTTAATAATTTAATTCATAGATTCTTTATTCATTTTAAAATTTGAAAGTACTTTTCTTCAGTTCAGGCATCTGATAAAATAGCCCTGTCGGTTGGGCTGTTGCTTAAATATGAGACAGTAAAATTTGTTTTACAATGCATAAATGTCACTGTTACTGACTTTAAATTCTCATTTCTGATTTTATGAGCAATAAATTTACAATTAGATATTATATTTATTTTCTTCCATTCATGAAAAAATCTGGTTGCTTTGCTAAAAATCATCTATTATTATTCCACAGGACAAAATGACACATCAGAATACAAGTATTGACATAGAATACGAATATGAGGAATTTAATAGTTCCAAGCGATCGAAATTGACTTCTAAAGTATGGGAGGATATGCTTAAAGTTCAAACAAGCGATGGTTGTAAAGTTCAATGCAAACACTGTGGCAGGTTGTTGCAAGATAACTGTGGAACCTCTCATTTAAAGCGTCACATAGTCAGATGTCTCAAGCGTCCAAAAACAGTGGATGGTGTTGATCAAGAGCTAATGACTTTAGCACATGCCCAAGACATGGGTGTTGACAAAGGTAAGCATACATTCTTTATGATTGTGAAATAACCCCCAAGTTTATTTAATCTCCACACATCGTCACTGATTTTTCATGAGAGGAACAATAGATAGAAGTCCAATAATTATAGGCTGTGTTAGTTGCATGCATCTAACGGATCTCCCATAAAAGTATCTGTTATAGTCTCATCTGCAATGAGTCACTGATAAATTACATACACAGTAGAGAAACTATGAAGCTTAAAGTATTCATAATAGAGCATCAAACATACTGCATATAATGTTGCAAGGATGTTAAAGTTGATATCTATTCTTGAGTGCTTGTTTGTTTTGACTTTTGAAAAAAAGATGTCTTCTGAATTAAATGGTTTCAAGCTTAGTTGATATAAAAAGGAAATGCAGTAGAGATAAATTTGACAAGCACCTACCATTTAAGTTTGGTTCTTATTGGTAATAATAAAATGATTCATTCCTAAGTGAATTTCTATTTGTGATAATGTAATGTTAATTTATATTCCATGGTTATTTGTAGCCATTTGAAATGCTAACTATTACAATTTGGTTGAGAAAAAGCAGTAAACTTTTCTCGTCTCTTCATTATTTCTGATATAGGCAGCAATAAGAATGAAAACAGCTGGAAGTTGGGGTGTTTGTTCTTGGACTTGTAATACTGGATAAGGAAAGAATGAGGGGTAGTGGAGGAAAAAAAGCTGCCTGTTAAATTGTGGATTGGTAAATTTTTAGTAAGAGGATAAGGCTTGATGTTCTTGGTTCTCGCTTTTGTGATGCCAATGGTGAAGGGAAAGACGAGACAGAGGAGGTGGCTTATGAGTCACCTCTTGAGCGACAAATTTATTAGTCTGGGAGGTCAAACTGTGAGAGAGTTGGTAGGACTTATTTTTATGGTTGAAAGTCTTGTTTGGTGGTCAACGCAAACAGGCTGGAAGAAACAAATGAGCAATGGTGCAAAACTTATTTGTTTTTAAGGAATGAAAAAGCATACTTGTTATGTTTTTCCACAGATGAATATGAAGAATCTTCCTCTATTCCTATTTATAAGTCATCTTTTAGAAGCTTTTTATGTTCCTATTTATAAGTCATTTATGAAACAATAAATATTTTTCCCAATAGTGCAATTGATATGAACTTTGTTGAGTAATTATGTTGGAGGCTGGGATTGAGAGAGATGGGTGAGATTGAGTTAAAATTTATTGCATTTAATTACTGATATTTTTGGAAATATGAGATTTATTAACTAACTTTCTTAATTTGTGTGAATTAGTTTAACACGACTTATATATAAGAATGGATGGACTACTAACTCCCATATCAAATTGCAGTATTCCCCTACATTTATATGTTGGCTCTGAGAAACTTCATTCTGTCTTGGACTTTATAATTGCTGCTTATATTTTTTCACATTGATGTGTAGCTTCTGGAATTACCATTTGTCAACCAGCAATTCCACTGCTTTAACCTTTTCCATCTTTACTAACTTCTCTTGTAGAATTTGGAGCGAACACAGTATATGTGGCACAACCATTAAAGGTTGAAACTGGATCCCTTGTCACTTCTTTTCCTGAGACACCAAATAGTCAAGGATCGATTATTACTGAATCTGCTACAGGGCGAGAACAACACCCAAAAAACAAAACCACTTTGGGATTGTCTAACTTTGAATCCCCCAAAAACCAGATGGATATATCTTTGGATGATGCAGAAATGAGAGCATTTTATGCTTCCTTGGATGCCGAGACCTCTGTTGTGTCACCTTCTCAAGATGTCAGGGTCGGTATTGAGTTGCCCAGAACTCCACCATGTGAAGAGACTGAGAAAGCTTTGAAAACATTACAAGGCTTTCTCTCCAAAGACTTTTCTGTCGTATTGCATCCTGGCCAGAGCAATTCGATGAAGTCCGCCTTAGAGTACCTTCTGACAGCAGATGATGGGATCTCTCTGGAAGTGCAATTATTAATATCAGAAGTTTCAAAAAGGTTTGGTCAGTGGAGTTGTGAATATAACAATGCTGGTCGAAAAATTGAGTGTGCTAGCACCAACCTGTTGAAAGCAGATAAACTAGAAGAAAGTCTTGAAGCTAACAAGAACCAATTTAAAGAACTAGCATCACTGGAAAGCGAGTTGAACAGTCAGTTAACCGGTTTGGAGGAAAGAAAGAAAGAATTGGAAGAGCAGATAAATGGCATCAAAGCAAACATCTGTGTTTTTCAGTCAGCTAAGAGCACAGCAACAAAGAGAAAGAGGGAAATATTTGAGGAAGGAAAGACTCTTAAAGCACAAAGAGATGAGTTGAAAGAACAAGCCCCAGGCTTGAGAGACGAGTGGGATTGGGCTAAGAAAATCCAAGCAAATATAAAAGCTGAATGGTCAAAGCTAGCAGAAAGATTTAACGAAAGGCTAGATGGCGTTAACTGTAAGTACTTTGATAATAACAAGCGCATTGAGCCTTCTGAAAATTGATTTTACAAACAGATTTGTAGCATAGCAAATATTGGTTGCTTCATCTTGTAATTCTTTGGGAAATGAAGTGAAAAAGAATGGCAGGCTGAATATACTGCTGTTCAACAATTCTTTGCTCCTTATTCATGTTTCTCGGGTTTGTTTGGTATGCTGGAGGAAGGAGTCTCGATGGAAAGGAAAGAAAATGAGAATGCGAAGGGGATAGGAAACAAGGATTAGCTTCAAAAAGGGGTATGTAAAAATCAATTGGATGCTGAGATGCTTTTGGCTTCTTTTTTTTTTTTTGGGGGGGGGGGGGTTGTTTTGATAAAGGGTGTGTATATATTTATTAATGATGAAATGAAAGATTTTTGCAAATGAGTTCTCCAGTCTCTCTGAGTTAGCTGCGAGAAGGCCCCATCAACAGAAACTAGCCCAGTCATTCGCAGTACTAGTCAGAATGCCTCTCGCTCCTGCAATAGAAGCAGCACTCTAGGCCAAAGATTTTAGATATGCTCTAACTAAAGAATAATTTTTACCACAATTAAAAATAAATAATCTGCCTTCTCTTTCACTAAATAAGTTCACTATTTTGACACCAATCATAATCGAACAGACCTGGAACCTCCTCCTCCGTTGGTAGGGAGCAAGAGGGCTGCGTCTTCACTAAACGTAGAAATTAATCACAAATTGAAATGGGACTGTGCTGAGATATTTCGTAGAAATTGTATGATCTAAAAGATTTTTCAGGTTCAGAGGAATACATGGTGGCGGCGCCTTTGACATTGACGGTAGTGAAGGAGAAGTAGGAAGAGATGATCGTGACTGTCATTGAGATGATGGAACTGCGACGAAAATTTGTGTGAAAATTCTTTAATCCAAACATCTTTACAAGTTTAGAGGAGCGGTATTATGGAAGAGATGATAGTGACTGGCGTCAAAATGGGTGGTCATAGTTGCCGTCGATATGATATGGTGGCCGGCCAGCTGGGTGGCTGTGGAACACTATCGAATATTTAAGCTGGGTTGGCCAAGAAATACTAGAGATGGTGAGGGTACACTGGTCTGAAAGATTGTCTTTCCAAGTATGATCCCTCTCTTCTGGATTTCTATATGAACCCGTTTTCCATCAAAATGATGGAAAGTGTCTTTGTTGTGATTCAGTGCAGGTCTGAAGTTTCATCAAATCTCTGGTTTAGAGCCAACAACTATATCTGTACAAGTCCGAGAAGATATTAACGTAAGTATTTGATTTCACTTGGTATACTTCAATCTTACTCTCTACTTTTTGCTAATTAAATAACTTGCAAAACACTCCATAAGTTTTAAAATTATCAAAATTAAGGATACATAAGTTTTATTAAAAAGAGCGTGTATTCCTTGAAAGTTAGAACTTAGATAATAAATACTTGCTTGTTTTTGTTAATGTCTTGAAGACAAGCTAGGAACCCACCTGGGGAACCTATTATAGAGCTAGCATAAGTAAAGGGAATAATATCCTTCAAATGATTTAATACTTTATTCATGAATATTCATAGACTTTTTGGAACTGAGAGGATCATTAAGCTTGCTGAAATTGAACTTTGTACGGCGTATCACTCAATGCAAGATGTTTAAATCCATTGGCATCCACATATAACCCAAGATCCTTACACTGAACTGTACAGTAGCTGCAGACAGTGGGACAATAAACCAACTTATAACTTTCTTCAAACCTCTCAATCTTGAACAGGATTGCCAATGACTCTACCAGTTGTCACGAACCACTGTCTAGTGGAATCATCGTAGTCTTCAAGCTTCCACACATTGGACCGAGGACAATCTGATGCAGCTTTGAACTCGATGTTCAGATCAGTAGAGACTCGAATCATACCTTTCTTGAGGTTCAGCCGTTCACTGCTATAACGTCGTATGGGCAAACTTCTCCTATGCTTGAAAGCGCAAGTCCACCGCCGTTCGGGTTAGCCGGCACCGGAATTACATAGTAATTTGCACCTGCTCGAAGCGTTTTGCCGGAGGTATCAACCACTTGCTCCGGTGCTTCCCTGGCTTCTTCGACCAGTGGCTTTGTGATCAAGGTGAATAGAAGAATTAATGAATGCTGCTAATGTGATCTTCATAGTTTTGTTTCTGATGGGAGATGAAGAGAATTGAACACAAATTTATAACTAAAGCTCAGTCGAAATCCATGGACGTACATGCAAATATGATAGTCAAGGATTTCAACTTAATTATAGGATTGGTAGGATGGATAAACTCTTCTTTCTTATCAAGTTGCTTCGAAGTCTTCTCGAGCTTTCTCCTTCCGATGCGTCGGATCGTTCTTGCTGCCTAACAATGTAGGACTTGCGTGCTGTATACTGACTGCTACGTTTTGTCTTGTTCGTGAAAAGCCCGCAGGATTTGATATATTTTAATTGAGAAGAAGATAGTTTTGACTTTTGACCAGCGATTGTTTCGAAAAGATGATGTTCGCAACTTGCAATGTATACTATTTATAGTGGATGGTATTAATTAGGGAGGATTTCAGTAAACGAATCACTGTAACAAGTTTATTTTACAAATTAAGCTCAAATGATTCCAATATTATATTACAAAATCAACAAGAGGCTAAATTGAAATTATATTTAAAAAAATGACCAAAATACTCTTTCTTTATTTAAAAAAGCCACCAACCATATTGTAGAGAACAACGAGCAAAACATTAGTCTAAATTGTATTAAGAATATTGCTTTCAAGAGCTATTCCGCCATATGTTGTTGGTTGTACGATAGTTTTTTAGAATTAAACAAGCCCGTCCTGAAAAAAGGGGCACAAAACTACAAAGAGCAACAGAATAGAACACCCAAACGGCACAAATAGAGGAAGAGGGAAGAAGAGGCTCGAAATTTCAAGAGCCGGGCAGTGAGAACACTAGATGTACAGGTACATATAGTCTTAGCCCAAATGAATGTTGGACGGCCATCGACACACCGGATCAAGGAATAAAATGCCATAAAGCTTCAGTTTTCTACCTACTGCCAACACATATGACCCCTTAATTCATATCAATATAAAAATACACATAACCACCAAATTATTAAGGGTTTTTAACTATATAATACAAGCCATATTGTAACCACTAAGCCATTGATCAAAAAGTTTATATATATACGTATATAATTTTGCATAATTGAAAAGCATCAATGGGCTTGGTGGTTATACTACATTTTGTTAACCAAACAGTTATAAGTTCAAACCCCTATCAGTTACTGAATAGGATTAATTTAAAATAAAAAATCTTCTACTCCTGGTATCTGAACGTCTGGCGGCCTCATCAGTTTAAAAAAAATGTTTTAGTGAACAATTAATGTGTCTAAAAAGTCAACAAAAGAGTCTCATATAATGGCGTATAATTTATTTTCACGTTGTTCGATCTTAAGTATAACTTGTCCTTGATCGATAATTTATTCTTATCCGGGGACCATAAATGACAACGAACGATTCCAAACTTAAAGAGTCGATTTTGAATTTCAGTGGGAATTTCCTTTATTTTTTTTTGAGAGAGAGAGACGATTTCAACTTTAGATTCCTTAGAAAAGATGATGTTAGCCACTGGCAAAAGTAGTTATGAGATAAAATTTATATTGATTACAGGTTTAAGTGATGAAATGCATTCGGTCAAATCCCTTGTTAGAGATATTAAATTGATATTAGTTTCTTCATATCTTATGCTAATTTCTTAAGATTGTGTATGAATTAGTTAGTGACCCTACTCTATATAAAGGATCTCCTTTGAATATATTGTGCAAGGCACGATATATTAATATTGAAATGCAAGTCAATCCAGCTTATTGAACCGGCAAATCATTAAATCATTATTTTGACTGATTTAATAAAATACTTTGTTCAATATCAGTTTGAACATAATCTGAACACAATTTTGACCATTAATTTTTGGTTTAGTGTCTTGATCAATTCAATGATCAATTGGATTTTCACCAATTCAAAAACTATACTTATTTCATTTGATGTTTCATTTGTAAAATAATGCAATAAAGAAATTTACACTATCTAAATGAAATTAAAGAGATTTAAATTAAATGCAGGCATGTATAAATCTAAACAGATGTGTAGAGGGTTCAATGTGATAAGCAAATAACAGTGTAAATTGATTTTAAAAATTAATAATTAATAACATTATATGTGTTTGAGAGTAGATAAGCAAATAACAGATAAAAATAAGTTGATTTTAAAAAAGAATTTTCTCCAATAATTCAAGCCAGAGGTGGAGATCGAATGGTAAAGTCTTATCCCTTAATTGCAAATGGTTAATTAGATTATCAATTTTTACATTTTGTGTATAATAAAAACTAGAAGAAGGATTTAATTAATTTCCTTCCACCAACAATAAATTAATAGGAAAATATTCATCTAAATATCTTAACCAAACATAATGAAAAAGAGAACCCCTTACCCCTTGTTTGGTTGGAGGGGAGGGGAGGAAAAATTTATTGAAATTTCTCTCCTCCCCTTTTGCCAAACAAGGGGAGGGGCTCCCTTCCCTCTAAAGCCTCCCCCCAAAATTGGGGGCCCCCTTTCCCCCACTCCCCCTCCTCTTCCCTCGCCTTCTTTTAACTAAACATAATGTCTGAAATTTCATTGTAGATAAAGAGTAGTAAAATGAAATTAAAATAATACAAACTAAAATTACCTCATTGTCTACAATGGCTTAAGTTTATTAAAAGACACTTGCAAATTTTATATGTTGAAATTGTTCATTTTTCATGCTGAAGAAGTTAATTTTTCTATTGAAATTATTTGTATGCATAGCTTCATTTGATATTATTCTTATTGTTGTTATCTTGATAAAAAGAATTGCAAACTTCTCATATTATAGTTGTCCATTGCCCATATTAAAGTGGTTTTTTTTTTCCTTTAGGATTTGTTTGTGCTCATAGCTCTGCTTGTGGTTATTCTTAGTGTTGTCATCATGGTAAAAAGAGTTACAAATTCCCTATACTATAATTGTTCATCACCATACTAAAGTGGTTATTTCCTACTAGGGTTGTTTTGGTTATAGCTTCACTTGTTGCTATTCTTAGTGCTATTGTCATGGTAAAAATAGTTGCAAATTCTAGTATAAGAATTAATTACTTTAGTATGGAAAATGAATAGCTTTAGTATGGAGAATTTGTAACTATTTTTACCATTATAATAGTATTGAAAATAAAATCAAGTGAAGCTATGAGCACAAGCAACTTTTGTAGAAAAAATAACTATTTTAATATGGGTTATAAACAACTATAGTATGAAAAATTTGCAACGTTTTTTACCATGATAATAACATTAAGAATAAAATTAAGTAAAACTATGTGCACAAACAACTTTAATAAAAAAAATTAACTATTTCAATATGAGAAATAAATGGCTTCAATATAAAAAATTTATAAGTATCTTTTAACAAGTTTGAGCCACTAGGGCATGGAGATAATTTTAGTTTGTATTTTAATTTTATTTCACTACCTTTGGTTTAGACCAAAATTTTCCCTAAATTAAATCTAGAGTTTAGCATTGGAGGTGTAAAATCTGAAGACTAAAAGAAAAATGTGTGGCCAAACTAAATGTTAACATTTTTACAGGTAAAAATAAATAAAAGTCACCCAAAACTAGTTTAGGTGAATATCAAGGATTGTTGAGGCCTGTCTGACTTAGTGGCATTGGCTCCCCTCTTCTAATGAAAAGGTTGTTGCTTGATTGTCACGTTGGAAAAAATTAGTAGGCATGTGTATCTGTGTCTGTAGGGTAAGGGGTGTAAATACGAGTAAGTGTGTGGATATAATGGGTAGTTACCCCTTACCAAAAAAAAAAAAAAGTAAATGTCAAGGATTTAAAATTTAAACCTTAAACAAAAAAGAAATTAAACTAGCTTAGCTTTAACTTATAGGTAAAAGTCTTAGCTCTTAGGCAATCTCCCATGCTTGACCACTTAAAATCTATCAAAATATAATGCCACTTTACTCTATGACTGCGTGCTCTAGGAGAGATTAGTCCTATTCACAAATGCGTAATATATTTTTGGCTGCCAAATTAAATAATTTGTAAAAATGATCTTGAATTGGATGTTGATGAAATACTAAAAAATTATCATTTGAAATAAGGAAAAATTATTAAAAAATTATAATAAAATCTTTAATAAGAAAAGTAATTATTTTTAGGGAGAATGATAAGAAGGATCTAAAAGAAACAATTAATTCAAGTTAAGTCTCAAGTGTCAAATTTCATAAATTTATAAGTCCATCTCTTAATTTTGCAACTATATTGTAATAAATTTATAACTTATTTTTTAAATTTTAATAAGGTTGAGAAATAAAAAAAGTTTATTTTTCTTATCAAAATTTAAAACACTAGTTACAAATTCATCATAACAAATATTGACTTGCAAATTTCTAAAATTTAATACTTAAGATCTAACTAAAATTAATTAATTTTTTTAAAACCTCTCTGTCATTCTTCCTTATTTTTTGCAAGTAATTTACGAGTCAAACTTCAATATTTACAAATAGGTCATTAATCTTAAAGTTATTTATGAGGACTAAATCTAGAACTTTTTTATTAATAAGGACCATTAATGGTAAATATTCATAATTCCACCATGAAAAGTGGTGGTAAATATACTCGTAATTTGGCTCATAAATTTGTACGTACTATGTATATTGTAATTTTCTTGTGAATAAATTAACTTCTAAATAATAGCTAGTCAGTCAGATATCAAAGGTAGCCAACAAAATAAACCCAAACCAACCCTTTTTCTGTTGACAGTAAACTCATGAATTATGTGATATCTATTTTTTTTTTTTGATAATTTCCGCTAAAAACTCAAAAGTCTAAATCAGACTTGCAATAATTGTCCAATTCTCAAATACAAGAAGCTGTAAATTTTAATTAATAATAGGAATTACTCAACAATGAGGGATAAAAACTTGCTTATTTATTTCTTTATTTTATTGAAGACAAGGAAACCTATACTTAGAGGCAACCCTGTGATACACAACCAAGGAAACAAACTGTCCCATTAAGGACAACACATACACACAAAACAAATTACTCCTAACATTCAAAAAGCTTTGGCCATTATTGGAGTTAGTTGCTTTCAATCTCGTTGAAATTGAACTTTGAGAGGCGTATCACTTAGAGCGAGACGCTTGTTTCCATCACTATCAACATATAACCCAATATCCTTACACTGAAACTTGCAATATCTGCACACACCAGGACAGTAAACCAGCTTATAAGCATCTTCATATTCCTCGATCTTAAACCAATTCCTCACTGTGCGTCGACCAGGATTGCCTATAGCACCACCGGTCGTCACGAACCACTGTCCAACGGAGTAATCATAGTCGTCCAGCTTCCACACAATGGACTGAGGACAAGTAGTTTCTGCAATAGAGAACTCAATGTTCAAGTCAGTAGAGACATAAACGGCACCTTTTTTATTAGTATTGACAGGAGTAAACGACAATGATTGGCCTTGATAACCCTCCACGGCCACAACATCAAGAGGACATTTTTCTCCTATGCTTGCAAGATCAAGACCACCTCCGTACTGGGCAGGACCGTCTGGGACAATGTAGTAGTTCGTGCCAACCCGGAGCTTCCTGCCTGAAGTGTCAAGTACAGCTTCTGGCCATGAGCCGGTGGGGACTGCGCCGAGGATTGGCTCTGAGATCGAGGCGAAGAGAAGGACGAAAGCTAGCATTGTGATCTTCATTGTGAAGTGTATATATGCTTCAAAAGTTGGGTGTTGAATGTGTTTAGTTTTTGGTTTAGTGATGGAGTGGAGCATGAATTTATAGAACTGCTTTGTGAGTGTAATAGTCAAGGATTTCGGCTAATACGATTGGCAGCTTATACTGTTTTGTCCATAGAAGTTGGATTCGTTTAAAGCCGTTGAAGTGTTCCACACTTGTCCTCGTAACAATGGATTACTTACCGATTAGTGCTTCGTTTGTTTAGTTCTTGGGAAGCACATAGTCATTGATATAAATGGGGTAGACAATGTTTATTTTAGTTCCCTCTTTTCTAGCCACTCTTGAAATGCCTCTTGTATACAATGTTATTGTAATTGATTCTATTTCTTTTTATAAGATAAAATTATTTACTTTATTGGACTACAATATATATAAGGCATTGGTAATCATTTTATACTTCTAAAAAAAGTTGAGTGAAAGTTTAATCTTTTAGATAAGTTTACATCTAATTTTCAATTATATTATCATTAAATATTTTATAAAGTGCTTTAATAATGATAATTGAAATTTTAATATATTATTTTTTTAAAAAATGTAATAAATGAAGTAAGGATATAGTTAAGTAAATAATTATAAAAATTTCCATTTTATAAACGAATCACTGTAACAAATTTATTACAAATTAAGATCAAATTATTCTAATATTATTTATTACAAAATTAACAAGAGGGTAAATTGAGATTATATTTAAAGAAAAATGGCTCAAATACACTTGATTTGTTTGAGAAAGCCATCAAACCACATTGTTGAAACACAAATCATCACTAGCCACCAGAGCTCTAGTGATCAGACGCTCTCCAATGCACAGAGCTCCAGTGGATGCTGGTTGAATAGATGCTTTAAAGTGACTAAGAGTAGTTTAAATACTGATGACCTCTTAATTCATCAAAATAAATATGACCACCAAATTATTAATGGTTTTTAATTATATAATACAAGCTATAAGCTTATAACCACCAAGCCAATACTGATTAGAAAGTGTTTTTTTTAATATATATATATAAGATACTGCATAATTGAGAAGCATCAATGGCTTGATGGCTATATTACTTTTTGTGAACCAAACAATTATAGGTCCAACCCTATTAGTTACTGAATAGGATTAATTTAAATTCAAAATACTCTACTCCTGGTATTTGAACGTCTGGGCGGCCTCAGTTTGAAAGAAAAAAAAAATGTATCAATGAACAACTAATGTGTCTAATGAGTTAAAAAGAGTCTCAAATAATGGCGTATACTTTATTTTTACGTACGTTGTTCAATCTTAAGTATATAACTTTTCCTTGATCAATGATTTATTCTCATCCGGGACGATAAAAAGACCAGGAACGATTCTAAACTTAAGATTGGATTTCAGTGGGCATTTCCTTTTTTCTTTTTTCTTTGGGGGGGGGGTGGGGAGACGATTTCAGCTTTAGATTCCTTAGAAAAGATGATATTAGCCACTTGCAAAAGTAGTTACAAGATAAATTTATATTAATTACATGTTTGAGTAATGGAATGCATTCGGCCATATCCGTTGCTAGAGATATTAAATGGATATTAGTTTGTTAAGATCTTATGCTAATTGGTTAAGATCATGTATGAATTATTTATTTAGTGACCCTAGTCTATAGAGGGTCTCTTATCAATATTTGTCATGTAGGGCATAATATTAGAATCCAAATAAACTCATCAGCGAATTATTAAATTATTGTCTTGATCGGTTTAATAAAATACTTTGTTTATAAGTAGTTTAACCATAGTTCGATCATGGTTTTGACTCTTAACCCTTGAGCCAATATCTTAATTAGTTTAATAATTAATTCAATTTTTAGCACCTTATTAGGGTTTATTTGGTTCAAGAGGAAAGAGGAGAAAAAATAATTATATATAGACAACTTTACTCTTATATTATTAATTTTTTAATAAAATATAATTATGAATGTTTTTAACATGTAATTATTAGTATATAGAGTAATTATCATTGTTAAATATATTATTAAAAATATATCATTACTGAATTTGTTTAAAAAGATGAAGAGTAGTAATTAAAAGAAGGAGCATACTGGTCATTGTATAACAAAATTATATCCTTCCCCTCCCAATTGCCCTAATTTGGAGGGGGGTTTGGAGAGGAAGGGAGGGGACCCCTCCACTTTTCCAAACCAAACAAGGGGTTAGGGTGGGGAGTTTATTGGAATTACTGTAGATCTCATCTTTATACCCCAAAGGTGCGGTCCTTTGGGATTTCTTTATCACCTGTCAAGGGATGATTGATTAATTAGTACGATACCTTAAGAGAGTTTATTATGAGTTGTATAAGCTTATATTGCTCTTTCATTGTTAATGGATATAGGTTGTTCATCCCTTGTGAAAGAAATGGTCACAATGTTACACAACGGTTAAATCCCATAAAGTTGCCCCAAATGTTATTTCTGCTTTTGTTCAAAAACTATACTTATGTTATATGATGTTTCTCTTTAATAAACTAATGCAATAATGCAACTTACACCATCTAAACGAAATTAAAGAGATTTAAATTAAATGAAGGCATAAATATCTAAATAGATGTGTAGAGATTCCATATGATTAGCTATTTACATTTATATGTCTGTGAGATGGATGAAGAAATAATAGTTAAAAATAAGTTGATTTAAAAAATTAATCTTCGCCAATGTTTCAAGCCACCAAAGCCGGAGTGAGGGGTAAAATTCTGTTCCCACAATCAATCAAGTGATCAGGATTTCATTTCTTTAACTTTGTATATAAAAAAACCTAGTAAGAATGGAATTTCTTCCACCAACAGCGAATCTAGAGTTTAGCATTTATGGGGGTAAAAGATAAGACTATAATTAAGATAAAATGTGGACATTTTTACAATTAAAAATATATAAACAGACTCAGTTAGCTCAAGACTCAAGTGACAATGATAGGTGACATGTGCTCCTACCTGCAAATGAGTGATATGGTTTTGGCTTCCAAATTAAATAATTTGTAGATAAATATTGAAATGCTAAACAATTATCATTTGAAAGAAGGAAAAATTATTTAAAGGACCAAATCCAGAACTTTTTATTTATAAGGACCCTTATATGGTAAATATTCATAATTCCATTTACAAATTTGTGTTGTTTTAGTGACAAATAGTAGTACTAGTATAAGTATATCGTTTGACCTATACATTTGTACTATTATTTCAGTGGTAAATATGATTGTAGTTACGTTTGGGCTCACAAATTTATGCTATGTGAATGGTAATTTAGGGTCCTTGTGAATAAATTAACTTGTAAATGATTAGTCCACTAATCACAAAGTCAGATATCAAACGTACGTAAGTAGTCAATAAATTAAAACCTAAATTAAAACCCAAACCAACCTTTTCTGTTGACAGTGATGACATGTGACATCTATTTTGTGAATATTTTCATTAAAATTCAAAGTCTAAATTTGAATTCAATAAGCAGCTGTAAACTTTAATAATAGGAATTACTCAACAAAGAGAAACAAACTGTCCCATTAGAGACAACACATACACACAAAACACATTACTCCTAATTATTCAAAAAGCTTTTGGCCATTATTGTTAGAGTTTCTTTCAAGCTCGTTGAAATTGAACTTTGAGAGGCGTATCAGTCACAGCAAGACTCTTGTTTCCACCACTATTAACATATAACCCGATGTCCTTACACAGAAAAAACTTGCAATATCTGCACACAACAGGACAGTAAACTAGCTTATAAGCATCTTCATATTCCTCAATCTTAAACCAGTTCCTCACTGTGCGTCGACCAGGATTGCCTATAGCACCACCGGTCGTCACGAACCGCTGTCCAACGGAATAATCATAGTCGGCCAACTTCCACACAATGGACTGAGGACAATTAGTTTCTGCAATAGAGAACTCAATGTTCAAGTCAGTAGAGACATAAACGGCGCCTTTTTTATTAGTATTGACAGGAGTAAACGACAATGATTGGCCTTGATAACCCTCCACGGCTACCACATCAAGAGGACATTCTTCTCCTATGCTTGCAAGATCAAGACCACCTCCGTACTGCGCAGGACCGTCAGGGACAATGTAGTAATTCGTGCCAACTCGGAGCCTCCTGCCTGAAGTGTCATGTACGGCTTCCAGCCATGAGCCGGTGGGAGCTGCGCCAAGGATTGGCTCCGAGATTGAGGCGAAGAGAAGGACGAAAGCTAGCATTGTGATCTTCATTGTGAAGTGTATATATGCTTCAAATAAATGTGGGTGTTGTGTCTAGGTTTTGGTTTAGTGATGGAGATATGAAGTGAAAGGAACATGAATTTACAGAACTGGTTTGTGAGTGTAATAGTCAAGGATTTCGACTAATACGATTGGCAGCTTATACTGTTTTGTCCATAAAAGTTGGCTTCTCGTTTAAGCCGTTGAATTGTTCCACGCTTTTCCTTGTAATAGTAGATTACTTGCTGATTAGTGCTTTAATTTGTTTGTTTAGTTCTTGGGAAGCACACAGTCATTGTTATAGATGGGGCAGACAATTTTTTTTAGTTCCCTCCTTTCTAACCACTCTTGAAATACCTCTCGTATACAATTATTATAACTGATTTCTATTTCTTCTTATAAGATAAAATTATTTGTTCTCTCTGAATTTGGATCACAATAAAAGACATTGGTAATTACCATTTTACTCTTTCTAAAATAAGTTAGATGAAACTTTAGTCTTAAAAATAAAAATTTACATCTTTTCAATTATATTGTCATTAAATACCTTACTTATATAAGTGTTTTAATAATAATAATAATTAAAATTTTAATAGATCATTTAAAAAAAAGAGTAATAAGTAAAGTGGGGGAATAAGTGAAAAAACAATTATAAAAAAGGTAAAGGTGCATTTTTGTTCTTAAGGTATTTTTTAAGAAGCACTCAACACTCTAACATTTTTATTGAAGTAATTTACCTTTAAAATTATTAAAATGGAGCATTTTTTTTCCTTTCTATCAAAGTTTCTAACAGTTAACGTTTGATGT